TCAATAGACTGAGCCCCTAATGGACCAACCATGTTATTAATGTACTAAACAACTGCAAATTTGGAGAAAATTTCTACCTTAAAAGAAAAAATTGGTGTAAAATTGTTTTCCATTTTAAATTTCCTCTTAGTTGAAATAAAATATTCAAACCATTTAAGATGAAAATTTTATATTAATTCACCAACAACATATGGTTGGTTGGAAAACGATCCAAGAAAGCAAATGGGTTGGATTCTTAATTCTATTGGGTGCCAATATTCTCTCATGGATTTTACCAAACAGCATATTTTCTAGGCCTTTAGGTGGATCAAAATTGGGTTTGTCCATGGCTCTTTTTAGTCAAGCTAGGCTGCCAAAAGAGAGAAGAAGACTGTACCTTCAAAGTCAAAATCATTGAAACACCCTTCAATTTTACCGTCTATTTCTCCCCCACGTGTGAATGTAATGCCCATCTCCCCATCCGGATCCAAAGAAACAGAGTTTTTTTTTTCGGAGTTTGAAATGGAAGTTAGTGAGAACATTGAATAAAATGAACGAGACAGCTCGGGAAGTTTTCATCTCACAAGCTATTCAACTTGTAATACCAAATCTCAATTGATTTGCTTTGTTCAGCTATCCTGGCATGTGGTCTTAAAATCAATTACATTGTATGGTGATTTCACAATTTATCAGCGACAGTGATTGACTTTGAGCTTTGAAGATAACTTCAACATGCAAAACGTCCTATTTACTTTCCCGAGTAAGGATTGAATAAAATGAATAACCCCAAAAGTGGGGGACCTCTCTCGTTGAGACAAAATCAAGCTTCCAAACAGCCTAGTGACTAGACGGACCCTCACCTACATTTCTAGACTAATGGAAAATAGCCTAACAAAAACAACCCATTCACTTCAATCCCCACAACACGAAGAGCCTTGAGTGAGTGGTAGAGAAATTTATCTAATTCTTCACCATTCAAGTTGCCCCCCAATTCCCTCATTGATTTGCGCATGCACATAGATTAATTGACTAAACCAGAAAACCCAATCCCTTGAACAGTGTGATAAAAGCCCTGGCACTCACTACAACAAAATTTATAAAATTTTTTATCCACATTGCCTCCCAAGTGAACAACCCTAAGTAAACTCATTTAAGTTCTGGACCACGCAAGGGGGACTCGTGGGTTTTGATCGGATGGAAAATTTGCTTTGTTCGAATGTTGGTGGCACCATTCCACCGCCCTGTGCGGGTTGCCCCGCCTTGGCTGTCTGACTCGTGTGCTTCGGCTCTGCCTTGGGGGGGCCCCCAATCACATGAATCCCCCATGTTCCCATTTCAATCTTGTCCATTCTATTCCTAGCAATGGAGTAATGTGATTTGAAATGCGTTTTGGGTTTGAAGAGGGGGCAATGTTACCAAATTTCATTTTATTGGAACTAGTTTTGTTAGCATAAGCCAAAAAAGTGCTATAAAATTTAGGTTAAAATATAATATTAATCAAAATTGTGTTTATTAGGAATTGAAAAAAAATAAGAAAAATAAATTTTGATTCAAAATTATAATATTTGTTTTAATTCATATAATTTTTTTTATTCGATTCGAATTAAGTTCGAATATTAAATATAAATGTTAAATTCAAAAGAGATTTTGAATCAAAAAATAATTAAAAATTAAATATAATAGAGTTATATATTTTTATTAATTTTTATATTTTTTAAAATTTTTATAAACTAATATAATTATTTTATACTCAAATTTATTTTAATACATTAAAAATTATATTAAAATAATATATCAAAAAATTAAAAATTAAAAATTAATAAATCAAATTAAACCGATAAAATTTAATTAGGATCGAATTATATAAAATTTTAATTTAAATTTAAATCAAAATTTATAATTTTATATATTATTAAAAATTCAAACAAAAAATCCAATTCCATTTTAACGTTATAACCCTAATGTTTATTATTCAGCACAAAACATAAACAAAAAAAGCACATAGGGAACATGCGTTCTGTTTAAACACGACAAAGTTGTCTTCTTGGAAAGACCATTGAGACAATTTTGCTGTGGGTTCCATTCTCCACAGTGCTTGTCTTTCTCGCTCTCCGTTCCCAAACTAAAATAAAGATAAAAAAAAAATAAATAAAAAAACCATTTTTTCTTAACAGAAAAGATGCGGTCTGCTCTTGAACAGTTATTCTTTATAAAGTTGTATGTTCGTGAGAAGAAAGACTTAAAAAGAAGATCTTTAACGAGGTTTGTAAATTTTTTTTTAAATAATTAAATTAAAAATAAAAATGAAATTTAATATATTAAAATTTTTATTATATAAATTAAGTATACAAATTTAAATAAATTTTAATACATATTTGTAGTAAAAATATTGATCAAAATTTTATCATTGAATAAATATAATTAAATTTGAATTATAAATAATTTTTTATATATATTATTAATTTTTATATTGAATTTTATAAATTTATAAATTTGATTTTTTTATTAAATTAATTTTTTTTAATTTTACACACATTTTCTAAATAACTTAACATAAATTTTATCTTATTTATGAGTAAAATTATTTAAAAAAATATGCATATAATACTATACTGTAAATTGGTTAATGGTAATATATAATATATAACTAGATTATAAACAGTGCGATGCATGAAATAATTTTTTTTATTTAATATATATAAATTAATTTTTTATTTATATTTAAAATTTTAAAACTTATAACATATATAAAATTTATATATATTGACTTATTATTAAAAAGTAAATTTTCTAAAATAGCAAAAAAATTTGTATCTTTCCTTTGAAAATTTTTGTTTATAATAATATTTATATACCTGTTAAATTATATCAAATAAAAATAAATTATGTCTTTTTTTAAAAATAAAATCATACATTATTAAATAATAAATTAAATAATAAAATAAGTATTAATACACTTTCATTTTAGTAATCTTGAAAAAAAATTATTTTTCATAAGAATAAAACTATAATAATAATAAAATATATTTTAGAAAAATTTATAAACAAAAAAAAAAACAAATTGCATTAGTAATAAAACATACATTAAAAAAAGTTATTGAAAAAATAAAAAAAATTGATGTATAACACATTACATTTGTAGTCTTAAATTTATAAAAAAATTATTTAGTGGTAATTAGGATTAAATGGATAATTTTTTAATTTAAAATGGATACAATAAGTGATAACAATAATATTAAATTTTTTGCATTTCTTTGATAAATTTGATAATTAGAGTTCAAATTGATATAATCATTTTGATAATCTTATTATTTAAAGATTTAAGATGAAAATTTTTTAAATTTTTAAAATTTTACATAAAATTACTTGAATTTTTAATGTTTTATGTCAATTTTTTAAAAGATAATTTTTTAAATCAAGATAAAAAAGATTGTTAAAAGATTTAGATAAACTTAATCTTTGTAATTTTTAAACATGTTTGAAAGATTTTGATAATTAAATGAATTTTTAAATAAGGTTATTTGGTAAATAACTAAAATTATTTATTAAAAAATTTTTTCATATTTCATATTTTTACTTTTAAAATATATATATGTAAATTGATTTGATTTTAAATTATAATTTGAATAATTTTGATATTTAAATAAATTAAAAAATATCTAATTTGAAATTAAAAAAAATTATCTTATTCTTTTAAAAAACTATCTTACGTGTTATTTAAAAAAATTGTACACATAGATGCATATATGGTAAACTTATTTATGTATTTTTATATATAATATATACATATATATATTAGATTTAAAATTTAAAACTTAATTCCATTAATTCATATAATAATTTTTAAAATTTTTTTAATAAATATAATATTCGAATTTTATTACTTATAATTTTTTTATATTATTAGATTACGGTTTTTTTCTAAATATGTTTAACTTGAAAGCAACGGTTTACAAAAATTGAATACTTTGGATGGATTCTATGGATTGAACATCTTGATTAGCAAGACAGAGATGCTAATGAAACGTGCCAGATTGGGTAAGTGTTGGTATAAAGAGATGAGGAAAGAGAAGACGTGTCAATGATTTTGAATGCAAGGGAAATCGAGAGGGTGGGCCCTGTAGGTTTGACTATCAAATCTGCATCCTACACAGGAATTAAAAAGGATCTGTTGCTGATCTCCAAGCTTTCTTTCAGTCTCAAGCCCCTTTCCCTCAAAACCCAAAATCCCAACTATCGGTATTTATTGAAATGAAGCTTGTTTTTTTTTTTTTTTTTAGGCTTTTGGCCATGATTTAGAGTTACAAAGAGGGTTAAACCATCACTTTTAATTGCTTTCACAAGTGAATTGTTTTGTCAAGCATAAAGTGGCCCTTCCCTTACTTTCAAAGCATACAAAGTTTACATGGTCAATAATTCAAGTTGTCTGTTTCACATGTTGCAACTATATATTCCCTTGTTAGTCTTTAAGAGATTTTAAAGAAAAGCTTAATCCATCAATTTAATCGAATTAATGTAAAAAGATCTTAGCTCAAAATCGTGATTTGCAATTTAAATTAAAGAACCTGTTATTCTAATTTGAATTGCCATTTTATAGAATTCTAGTAAGTGAATTCAAATTCCACATCTTTATTGTTCTGGTAATTTTTTAATTTCATAAGCATATCTTTTGATAATTAAAAATTTTGTTAAAAAATAATGAGATATATGATGAATTATTAGTCTGATTTATTTTATTTTGTCAATGTATAAAAAATACTCTTTTTAATAGCACAAATCACAACTCTTTGGTTCATGTATTTCCCACTCACTGTCAAAAATGCCGTCAAAATGAGAAATTCACGAACCAAAAGAGTTCAGAAGAAAAACAGAACTCTGAGGTTTTGGTGCGCGTGAAATCCTCGGCAGTGTAGTTAGCAAAGATGCTGAAAACAATGGGAAGCAACAAAAAAAGCAGAAGGGGACAAATTGGTCGGCCAAAAGTGTAGCAAAGCTTGGACCCACTACACCAAATGTTACTCTCTGTCTGCTGAATGTCCCCATCCTCACCGCTACAATTTCACCTTATATTAAAATTCCCCAACTTCGGTACGCCAAGAAACCCAGATTTCCTTGACTCTTGAGCCTTGACCCCCCCACCCCAGGTTGCACTTGCTTCTTTTGAAGTATTCTGGTTTATTTCGAAGGAAATCTTTTTTTCTGTGGACAATTTTTGTTTCATTTTGTATTTGATGTGCATGGAGCTCCAACTGGGACTCGCTCTTCCAAGTGATCCTCTTATTATTCCAATCAAAATGTTTGACCTAAACAGCTGTGGTTACGAGCCTGGGGAGGGTTTGGGTTCCAACACTTTGAGCCGGCCATTGCTAAAACTGGGTCCATCTGACATTAACATTAATAACAGCAGCAGCAGTAGCCCTAGCCGCAGCGGTGGCAGCAGAAAACGGGGCTTCGATGAAGTACAGCGCTTTGATGAGAACAGAATTTTTCCCAAAACGCTGCCTCTTTTGCTTTCGACTAACCAACCTAATGATGAACATGACCCTAATGGTCTCGAGGACAACTCTTCTTCTGCCATTTTCAAGTACTTCACTTTTTCTCTATCTTTCTTTTCTTTTTGTTTCGTGCGCCTGTCTGTTTCTGCGTTTGTATTTCAACTCTGTCGTGTTTTTTTTCTTTTTTCTTTTTTGCGTGCTTTTAAGAACAAAAAACATGCAAAAACTTGAGTTGTTAGTTTTCTCTCTTATTTTGGGTTCTTATCAATTTTCTTAATGAATTTATGTTTGGGAATTTGTCGTTTATGCGGTTTAATCTTTGATTTGATAGGAATGATGGAGAGGGTTTAGTGGGGTGGCCACCAGTGAAAACCTGGAGGAAGAAGCTACTCCTACAAATTCCAAAGGGCGGAGCAGTTAACAATAATCGCGTGGCGGCGATGGCGGAGAATGGCTGCCGCGGCAGGGCTTCAAATTCCACGTACGTGAAGGTAAAGATGGAGGGAATTGCAATTGCCAGGAAAATTGACCTTAGCGTCCATCACTCTTTTGAAACGCTTACAAGCACCCTGATGGGATTGTTTGATATATGTAAGTAACCAAACCTTGCTTAAATACAATTAAAAATTTTTTTTTTTACAAAGAAGTCCATGATCTGATGACAAGAGTAGGGGTTTAAGATACGAAGATTTGAACTTAAAATTTAAATATCATCTCTTAAGGCATGAATTAACTGAACTGAACTCGGGTTCAAATACAATTCCAATTTCATCATCAAGTTTGATTAACAAGGCCTGATTTAACTGTTGATTTTCCCTTCTTGTTTCGGAACAGCTGATGAGAATTGGAAGGGCTTTAAACTCACTTATCAGGACATAGAAGGAGACTGGTTGCTTGCTGAAGATGTTCCCTGGAGGTACTTTTCTTTTTTCCTTTTTTTTTCTTTTCCCTGTTTGCTTAGATAGAAACTGATGGAAACAAACTTGGGTTATTTCAGGACCTTCATTCGCTCCTCGAAATGCCTCAAATTGATTAGAAGCAGAGGCTAGCAAATGGGGAGTTTTCTCATGGGACCACATCAAATTTATAAAAATCGTCGGCCAGCAAGTTTCAGCTTCCTTTTGATCTTAAAAGAATCGTGTGGGTCTCTTTTTTTTTTTTTCTTGAATTTTGAATGACTGCATGTAATATATAGTAATTTAACTCTTTTTTTTCTTTTTTTTTTTTTGTGTAAAATTTGAAACAGCAATCAGTTCTATGAGAATCGGAAAAGACTAGAAAACATATGACTTGGTGATCATATTTGAATCTGCTTGAGCCGCCGGTTTCTTTAAAGCAAAAGCACTTGAATAACACCATGGTCAGGCCATATTTAAGTGCAATTTACACCTAACACTAACTTTTGCATATTCTTAAGCATAAAACAATTTTGGGACAATAAAAAAGGCCTTTGATTTCTTTTTTGAGTGGAATGTTTCCGGTTATCCTTCTCTAGAATAGCACTAAAGATTGTAGCTTTATAAGATTTGCAGACTACATTGCCATTGCAGTTAGGAGTACGAAATCTCCCAAATGGCAGAACGAGAGATATCCATGTTGCCGAGTCCGAGCTACTAAATGGGCCTGCTTCCACTAGAACATGTTAGGTTTGAATCTGGGCCATGACACACTACTAATTTTGAAAAGGTTTTATGATGCGGCTCAGCTGAAATATTTTTCCTTTTACAATATAAAAGAAAAATAATGCTTATTTTAAATTGACAAAACATTGAAACGGACGTTTCAAGATGGAAAAGGGCTGAGCTCGTGCGTTTTGACGGGGTAATCCTGGATAAACAGTAAAATTAAATTTTATGAGATGAAAATAATGATAAAGATAATATTAATTACAGTAATTATGAGATTAAAATCAATTGTAAAGTATGTGTTTGAATATAAATGTAACGATAATGATGAGTTAAATTATAATGAGAGGAAAAATTATCATTAAAAATATTAATTTAAAATGTGTAAATTATTTAATAATTATAAATTTATTGAAAAATTAAAAAATTATTTTTTGTCAAATAATGATTTTATTAATAAATGATTAAAAATTTATAAAAATAATATTCTTTCTTTATTTTTTTTATGTAGGTATTGTTAATTAATAAAATAATCTCCAAAATTTTTATATAATATTAAATTTTATTAATTTATTAATTAATTATTTATTAGTTTATTATAGTAAAATTTATTTATTATATTAAAGTAAATAATAATAAAATTATTTCATAATTTTAAATAAAAAATCAAAATAAAAAAGAAACCTTCTAATCACAAAAGTCTTCCAATCTTTACAAACTTACATACTTAAATGAAAAAAAATTATTTAACAAATTAGGATCAGTGACCCTTTAAGCTTTTCATGGTTCAAAGGTAAAAGTGAAAAAAAAAATCGACATCAGTTAGGCACTAGTAGATTTTCCTTTTGGTGGATCATTATTGAGGTTTGGCACGGTAAGAATGTAGCAACCGCACTGAAATCAGAGCATCCAAATTGGTGTCCTGTTCAATGGGTTTCCATTTTGAGGGTTAAATTTCATCACATTGGAGGTATGGCCAACTGAATTGGTTTTTTTTTTTTCACTTTTACCCTTAAATCATAGGAAGCTTATAAAGGTTACTGTTCTGAATTCATTAAATATATATTTCTTTATTTAAGCATGTACACCTATAAAGATTAAAAGGCTTTTGTGATTAGAAGGTTCCTTCTTTTTATTTTTTTATTTTGATTTTTTATTTAAAATTATGATATAATTTTATTATTATTTAATTTAATATAATAAATAAATTTGACTATAATAAACTAATATATAAACAAACTAATAAATAATAAATTAATGATATAATAAATTAAAATTTTAATAAAATTTAATATTATATAAAAAATTTTGGAGATCATTTTATTAATTAACAAACCTACATAAAATAATAAAAAAATAAATAAAAATATTTTTTGATATATAAATATTATTTTTATTAATTTTTAATAATTTATTAATAAAATTATTACTTGACATAAAAATAATTTGAAATTTTTTAATAATTTATTAATTTTATAAATATGAAATAATTTAAACATTTTAAATTATTATTTTTAATGGTTATTTCTCCTTACACTATAATTTAACTCACTCCTAGTGATGTGTTTGCATCAAAACATATATTCTCACTATTAATTTTATTTTCACCATTAAAATAATTTATTTTATCTTCATTATTATTTTTAATTTCATCGAATTCAATTTTACTGTCCATCTAAACAGAACTTTAAGTCTAACTAACATAACTTTATTCTCAAACTTCATAGGTTCATTCTCAAACTTCATAATAATAGAATACTCAGTTGATTAAGTTAATAAAGTTTGAATATTTCGTTTATAAAATTTAGTATTAAATTATGTCTTAATAGTTCTTTTGACAAATGATTTGTAAATACGATATAAACAATATTCTTGGAATGCAAGGAGAGTAAGGACCGGGAAATCATGAGCAATCCCAACCCTTCATGGGAACCCCAGAAGAGAATTGCTTATTGCTGGGGATAGACATGATTGGTCATACGTGGAAAGCTTGTAAAACTCTATCAAGTGAATCTATTCTTTTGCACGAACAAAAGTAACCGTGAAATGAGAATTCGTATCTTTAGTTTTGTGATTAAAAATGTTTGAAAAAATATTAAAAGTTTAATTTTAAATCGAGTTTTTTTTATTTTTCTTATTTATACTAGAATTTTATTTTTATGATATAATTAAAAAAAAAATGAGGGTTCAGTTTTTTTTTTTTGCTTTTTGTCCATATACAATTTTATAAACAAAAGTACACAATGTAATGGAGAAAGTAGATTATAAGCCTCCAAAAATGTACGTTAGTGGCCAACATAAGGTTAATGTGCTAGGCAACTTCCTCATGCCATCTACCTGCAATTGATTGCCTATCTTATTCAACAATTTTAGTCTCATATAACTTAGTTTTGATTTGGCTTTGGATAGGAGAACTTATTAGATACGTCTTTATATATATATATATATATATATATATATATATATAAGATATTGAAAAAAAAATGATTACAATATTATTAAAAAATAATATTTAATAAATTTAAAATCCAAATATATGTACTTATAATTTTTTTTATTCTTAAACTCTTATCTGTTTTGTACAAAAAAAATTATAAATATTAAAATTTAAAATTTAAATATGTTATATATTATTTTTTAATAATGATTATATTAATTAATTAAATTAAATTTTAAATTTGAATTTAATAAATATTTATTATTATTATTATTATTATTATTATTATTATTATTTGATGCATATATTCAGTATTATGGTTAGCTGTGTATATTCAATAAGTTATCGAATGACCCGTCATTTGTATTTATTATATTAACATGAATAGTTCCATACTTTTTCTATTAGTTGTGTTGTGATAGAACTAGGAATGCCAAATTTCTCCAATGAGAATTACCGTACAACTTCGACCCCAAGGCATTTATAAACACGCATGAGGCTGACTTTGATCGACAAGTATTATATAATAATATGACGTTTTTTATTCTAAAATTAAAATTGGAAATGCAAACTTTTATATATCTAATAATATCTCAATATCCAATGCCCTAACTTAAGTATTATTTTTTTTTACATAGAAATTTACAATCTAAAAATAAAGGAAGAAAAAAATTATAAACGATGAGATTTGAATTTTAAATTTATTAAATTTTATTTTTTAAAAATTATTATATAAATTAATTAAACTAAATCTCTAATTCTTTACTTAAATAATTTACAATTTATAGTCATTATTTATTATATTTTACAATTTAATTATTCAACATTTTTCATCAAAAAAGATTTTTATATTAATTTACAATAATGCATGCACTATTAGAATTATTAATTTGGGGTTTCTTTTAAATTTTTTCCTTAAAGTTTTTGATGATTTATATAGTGGTTCCAACTTTGAAAGCAATAGTTCTCCCTTTGAAAACGATACTATCAAATAATATACACATGTCCTACTATTGAATTTAAAAAGTTCACAATCACCTAATCTCCAACGCCAAATAAGATTCATCCGACTTACTAGAATGTATGATTTAATAAAAAAAATAAATGAAAAATAGGATATTGGAGTTTGAAGAAAAAACATTGAAGTAAATTGAAAGAAAACTTGAATCTAAAGTTTATTTATTGTATCCAATTGAAAACTCAAACATTGACAGTGACATGTGGTTGTGAAATATACGTTTTTTATTTTTATACATTTGCTGCCTTTATCCCATTGAGTAAGTGGCCCGTTGAAGGGGGAATTTTGTCTTTCCCATGCTAAGGTGCAGCATTAGCTAGTATCATATTGTTTATTACGAGAAAAAAAAAAAGTCAATGCTAAGGTTAAGCCGGCCCTAATGCTAATGTTAGGTACGTTTTTAAATTATAATAAAATATTTAATATAATATTTAAATTTAAAAAAAATTTAATTTGATATTTAAATTATAAATATATTAATTAATATGATATTTGAATGATTTTTTTTATTATTATCTGTCATCATATAAAGCTAAACATGTAAGGAATAAATATTATATTAATTAAAAATTATAATTCAAGTATCAAGTTAGAAATTTTTAAATTTTGAATATCATATTAAATATTGTATTATTGTATATAGATCATTTGTGACACTAATATATTTTTTACTACATGGTTCTAATTTGAGAAAAAATAAAATATTATAAGTGTTGGTATTTGAATTCAAAATTTATTGAATATTATTTATTAAAAATAATTGTATGAATTAATTGAAATAAATTTTAATTTTTAAATATCATAATTTTGTGATAAGTGGATGAAAGATTTGAATGTAACTTTTATTTAATTAGAGAAAAATATGTATTAATTATCGAATTAATATATTTCAAATGTTAATATCATAATTTTAAATATTTTTTATTTTTATTTATATCATGTTAAATATTTTAAAAATCTCAAAATAAGATATAGAAATATTAAAAAAAATTAAAAGTAAAATTTTATGTGACTTATTTGAACCATTATATTTTTTTAATTATCTTTATCATTTTTTATTTATTTTAAATATTAAAAATAATCTAAATAATTGAAAATATTATTATTTAGAATGATTCCTCAGTCCTCAACAAACAATGATGTGATCATTGTCATTTTTCAAAACTTTTTTTTCCAATTTTTCTTTAGGTTGAATAGAAAAAGACGAAAAAATGGTTAAAAATTATGTAAAAAAAGAGAAAAAAGATGTTATACACTATCAATTATGGATGATAACTATTCACATGATTTAGTTTGATTTTTTTAATAATATATAATATTATAAAATTTTAAAATACAATCTAAATATACACTAATAATTTTTTGAATGGATTTAATTTAAATTAAATTTTATTGATTTTGTTTTTGTTTTGTTAATTAATTTTTTAAATTTAAATTTATTTTATTTTTATATATTATG